GAGATTTTGGCAAGTACCATCATCAGCGTTCGCGCGTGTGGCGGGTACTTTGCTCGCTTTTCCAATCCGCGAAGAAGCGTTTGCTAGCCTCAATTGATGTAATTTTTTAAACAAAAACGGTGAATAATCCTTTGTCAGCATATGCTCACAAGCGCTCAGAAAGCGTAAAAAAAAGAAAGTAAAACACCACATTTAGCGTGGTGTCAAAACGCTAAGAATGGTTTCTTTTCGACTGTGTAATATTCCTTGTTTTCTTTTAAACATCTAAGGCGCATTCAAACAAAGGTGTTTGCTGAAATTTTCTTACGTTACGTTATGTGGCATCGGGACATCCTGGCTTCATATGTTGCGTGCAAGGATACTCCTTAAATTTTCCGTGGTTCGTATGAAGTACGAAGCACGCAAAGCACGAAAGTACGACGCACGCGTGCTTCGTGTGAAGCCGGGCTTCAATCAAAGCGCGCGTGTCCTGGGGACAGGGACGTGAACAGACGCAAGCCCTCGTAACATAACGCAACGTAAGCAATGTGAACGGACATTCATTGTTCATGTGTATAACGTCAGAAAAAGTACGGGATTGCGGGTCGAGTGTGTTAGCGTGACCTACTGTAATCTTAACCTGCCCACAGAAGAGTGTGCTCACGCGCGCCTTGTAGTACGGGCCGCGGCCGCAGCGTTTCGTCACACTATATGACTCCGCGGCGCTACACAAAGACCTCTTTGTTTCCTAGGGTGTCCGCATATTATTCGAAGGCGGGCAATGCGCGGCGGTGTTATCTGGTCCTGACCTGCTCTCCTCGAGGGCCTCGCGGGATCTCGTGAGTTAGTTAGTGGGCCCATAGCGGGTTCTTCACTAGAGGTGCCGGTTGCCAGCATTGGCTATTTGTGGTGACCCGAGAACGATCCTTATTTTTACGATTGCACGAGAGCAGTCGGGGCTAAAAACGGCCTTACGCTTCTGTGCCAAAGAAACGCGCTCTTTCGATCCATACAGGCATGAGAGCGATGCTGGCGATGCGTTATGCTGCAGCGTGTTACTGCAGACTGCTGGCGCCACGCTACGTCAGGGTTTCCCGAAAAACGGTAATCAAATATCACCAGCCGAGCGCCGTGGAGGCCGTGCGCTAGACACGCAGGCTGTTAACCGAGATGGCGCCGGCTGCCGTTCTTGTTAGATTATGTTTTACTTTAAACAAATGTTCAACTTTACAGATTGATCTACAATGCTTGGAAAAATCATTATGTTGTGCTTAAAATGTCAATTGGGCAATTCCCTCATTTGCACTGTGCTGGTCTCCGGCAGCCACCAAAAACTGCCTCAAATCATGCCTCTACATCAATGTTGGCATCGAGGTTTTTGATACTCGAATGCGTTTTAATGTCAGTTTTGTGTTCTTTTTTTGTCAATTTTATAAGCCGCGGTTGTCGGATCCAATAAGGAGGTAAGATACATCAATTTGCTGCACTGCGCAGCATGTTCAGTACGAACTTTAGATTCGTCTTGACTAAGATACTTGCTAAACTTCTGTTGTCTGGATCGCAAAGGTCTGCTTCGTCGCCCTAAAATTGCCTTAAGTTACGCTTGCAACCCAACGCCGACGATCCAACAGCTTAGATTCTTCGGGCTGATTTAATTCTTACCGTGTGCGCCGATCTTTGTCATACTACTCAATATTATAAACAACAATGGTAATTACCATAAATATTCAACTCCAAAAGAGGTCAAATGAAACCTGTCCTCTTTAATAAACCCACCGATAACTGAATAAAAGGTTAAAAAGCGCGAACAAACGAGAAGCGCCTGTCCTGTCGTCCGTGTTTCCCTATTGTCCTCGTTTGTTCGCGCTTTTAAACCTTTTATTCAGTAATGGACCAACTAGCCCAAACCCAGGTTTTATTTCCACTGATAACAACATAAACATGACGTAATAAACTGGTCTGTTGCATTCACTTGAACACATTCCTAAGCGAATTCGTACTTATAATTCACTTGAACACATTCCTAAGCGAATTCGTACTTATAATTCACTTGAACACATTCTTAAGCGAATTCGTACTTATAATGTTTCCGCGCCTTAGAAACCTGGGCTTTTAAGATGTCGAAGGTCACCAACTCACACGTTTAACCCTGGAGAGTGCGGACAGGACAACACGAATGTCTATATTCGGAGATTTGTTTTGTCGTGTCCTTCTATTCAGCCCCCCCCCCCCCCCCCCCTTTTCTAGGGTTAATGTCAATTCTTAACCTGCTCAACTGCACCCTTGCATTAACTTCAGGAATTGACCGACTCGCCGGCATGTTCTATAATATTTATATATTAGTGTTTGTTTGCTTTTGCTGACCAGCTCAACATTTTCTCGGTAGCAGCCGCCAGATCCAAACGAGTTTCGTAACTGCCTCGCGGCGATGCTGAACAAAATAAAGGATCCTCCACTAGCAGATATTTCTAATCATTACAGAAGGTCAAACCACATATAAAAGAACTAAACCGGAAGTAACAAAACATGTCAAGCAAATCTAGCGCTATATATCTACAAAAGGTTATTGAGTTTTGCTTGTTAAAGGAGCTATGCAACAATTTTTGTACTTTGCGCAAATACCGCTTAAAACGGATCCCTAAAGGCCCTGTCACACTCCGGAAACAGTCGGAGAACTTTGTCCTTCAACACGAGGAAGACATGTTTTCGGGGACCCTGTCACATTGCGGAAACAGGAACAGTCCGGAAACATGTTGCTGTCGTCCGAAAACCATGTTTCCCAACTTGTTCTCCGACACTCGGGGAGCATCCTGTCACACCGAGAAAGCGTGTTGGAAGAACACAAATTGCCTCCTCTCCTGCGCGCTGCCTTCCTCTCTCTCTCGCCCTCGTCTGCCCGGCCGGCTCGGCTAAGCTACAAGCGCGAGCTCCAGGCTTTCAGCATCCCTGCCAAGCACGCGCGCTCGTGCAGTGCAAGCACTGTTCTGGGCGAGATGCTCGCGCTTGTAGCATCGGCTGCGTCTGGACCGAGGCTGAAACGAAGTATAGGCGGCTAGGCTCAGATCCGCTGGCTCCGCTCGCCCCTTGAATCGTTGCCATTTTGGATCGCCGTCTCATCGACGTCGCTCTACCGTAGTCGATTCATCAGCCGCGCGAACCATCTCGTGTTCTCTGGATTTGGCGGTTGCGTTCTGCTACAGGGCTAGACCCTTGCACGATGGCATACGCGCCGGCCACAGCAGCAGCTTCTGCTTTGTTGCTTCTTTGTGCCATCTAGTGCCATCGATTCAGATGATTCTGACGATCAGCTGCCGCCGCGCAAGAAGCCGCGTTTAAAATGGCCCTTCATGCAATTATTGAAGTATTCTCGTGCGACTATCTGTACAGAAAAATATAGATGTTGCCGTGTTGCTGGAAAAAAATTCGCTCAGCCACCGAAATGGGCAACACGTGTCGTCCGACACAAGTTGTCGAGGTTTCCGTTGCCAAAAGCTATCACACCGAGACAACATTGTCGCTGTCGCCCATGTTGTGTTGCTGTTTCCTCAATGTGACAGGGTTGTCGGGCAACAGAGCCGACAGCCGACATGTTTCCCAACTGTTGAGAAACATGTTTTGTTCATGTTTCCGGCGTGTTTCTTCAATGTGACAGGGCCTTAACGTTAATGACCTATGAAACACGCGTTCGTTTTTCACCCCGCGCAATAGAAGTCTCAGAAAAAAAATTAAAGAAAAACGAGCAGCGTTTACCCCCTCAACTCGCAGCAAGAACAAGCGGCCACGTGATCTGGAGCCGATTATATGCCGCCAGTGTTGATCATAGCCACGCGCTGGGGTTGGCAAAGCGCAGGACACGCGCTGAGTTCCAGACATTGTTATGGCTCGGCTGTTGTCCTCGTTGCAGCGATTGGACACGGGCGACTACCCGAATGCTTCTCGAGCTAGCAATTGTCACGAGCCCAAGTCGAGTGCCACGCAATGCTCGAGTCCAATCTATGAACCGCATTCAAATATCGTCACTTGGGTGTACTGCGATCCCCACGTTACGTCATCACATTTTGCAAAAGAGAGATTGAATGAAAATGATCGCTTTTGTCCTTGAAATTTCACCGCAACAAAGGAGTTTCTTGGCCAATGGCGTTGCGTGTGAGTATCCTTGAGTCCCAGGTGTGCCAGTAAGCTCGTGTAGAGAGAAAAACATTCCAATTGAATATCGTTGCACAGCTCCTTTAAACCTGTTGTGCTCTGTCCTGGCGAACAACAGCTATATTTTATGTTCACTGTTTCTGATACCAGTTTACTTTTCTTCACGAAAGCTTCAGTGTTTGGAAAATCTAAGACGCTATACGGTTGGAGCTCGAAGTTCACGTTCCGGACATTGTCAGCACGAAATTCGTTAAAATGTTTCGTTGCTGATTAAATAGAAAGTACCAACCATCGCCAAGTAATATCTTTGTGAAATATATTTAAAAAAAAACGACGTCATTGGAAACTCTGGAAATGTTTAGGATAACGGTTTGTTTTTTAATAAATCAAAACTTTGGAACAAACATTTATGCGCACAATGTTGATAGGTCTCTCTTCAACTACATAAAGTTAAGTTGCATCCAGATGATATATTCTAAGTTGATTAAAGTGAGGAATACTGTTGAGATCTCTAACAAAATATACATACAATGTGGACACCAATGCTTCGAGCTCACTTTACAGGGTCTACAAAATCGATTTTTCAACATATCTTGTTGGGTATTTTATATGAAGTCGAACACATGTATTGAAGTGCGTATTTTGATAGCCCCTAATTCTGTAATAAACATAGCCGCTCTTTAAAGATCCTGATAAATTTTATTTATTCATATAACTTTTTTTAAGTGGAGCAAGGTGAAACACCACATTTCCGCTGCGTGACGTTTGTGCCCAGTTTTGTCAGTTGTAAACAGTAAACAAGTGAAAAGAAAAAAAAAACAAAAAAAAACACTCACATCCTGCCTGTCTTTTGCTTTATTAAAATTTTTGCCCAGGTTCATTTGCGAAGGAAGATGAAAATTCACCTGTAACCTTGCCTCCACAGTCATTGATAAATGACACGGACTCTAAAGGGTGCAACCGTCAATTATTACCCTATTTCGATGGAGACGGAGAAACGGGTTTTATGGTAGGTATTAGGTTCCACTAGATGTCTATTACTACTTGCCTGAATATTTTAATGTCTAGAGGCAATTGGAATGTTAATTAAAATATTTAGTACAGCACAAATTAAAAAAAAGAAAACACGACATATTGTACGGCTATGAAAAAATAAAAGCCACTTTAAACATACGACAAAAACGCGACAATAAAACTAGTGTATAACAATAGAGGTTTTACGTGGACGTATATGTATTATACTGTCCTGATCCCATAGAGAAGAGCGAAAAACAATTTAACAAAGGCACATATATTCGCAAGCGGTATTGCATAAATAGCGAAACGGTTCTTGAAAAGGTAATTCCAACAGGTAGTTCATAATTTGTTGTCATATTAAAAAACAAACAAACAGAGGATGTGATAGTGAAACAAACCAGTTTTCTTTCAGACGGAGGTTATATCGTATCATATGTATGTATTTTAAATGCGATTGCATTGATTTCGGCATACCCTCTTTGGAAAAAATCTTTCTGTAGCACGAAACGAATGAAGATGTGCCTGTAAATGGAAAATAGATAAATTGAGAAAAAGGAGCAAACCTCCAAACGTCCCCCAAGGGGAGTCGAACTCGAGACCCCAAGGACGCTTAACCACCGTACCAAGGGGAGACTTGTAAATGCGACAATATGTGATAAAATTTCTTTCGCCAAGTGATACCACGTATGTGTGCAAGTAGCGTGAACGCGTATCTTCAAGTTTTGCTCCACCTGCACGAGGGCCGGTGCTGCCGAGGTGCCAACTGGCAGAAGGAGCTCGCGCTCCTGCCTGCCATTGTGCGGAGATTCCAAAGCTTTCAACAGAAGGCGCACTTTCTAAATGTTTTATGATAGAAGTCTACGCTTGCTGGAAGTGCCCCGGTGGTCTTCATAATGCCTCGAAAAAGAAAAGGGCAAACTGAATAAGACCTGGCTCTTTGGCTAGGACAAAGAAGCAAGGTGGGCTCGTTCTGCTACGAGCCAGGGTCGAGTGTGGGAATGATGGTCGTTTTAATTTAATCAGCGAAATATGACCTTAATTTAAAAAAAAAGACAAAATTCCGTTGCATTGAGAAGTAATCTGCAGCGAATCACTTCAAAAATGCGACCCCTTTTTTAATTTGTACAGTGTATTTAAAGTACCTGTAAGCAAGTAGAGGTTTATTCTATTGGTGAGGAGCGTGTTGGTATACGTTTTATTCTTTATGCTACAAGTGTGTCGGTATTCGTTTATTCTTTCGCTAGAAGTAGAAGTTATACTCACAAACATTTTGAATTGGATTTCTCTTATGTATTCAAAACAACTGTTCCATTTTCTGTTAACCCTTAGCAAAGACGTTTCCCCTAAAATATGTAATTGCTTTATGTATGTTTTGTTTTTACCAACACTAGATGACAGTAATCCAATTACGAAGATCCATACGATCCACCTGAAGGTTATATCTTTACAAACAAATTACTAACGATTAGCTCTTTTGTAACTTCACTGTTCGACAGTCTGGAAAAAGTGCAAAACACACTTACTCCAGGACATATTGTCACGACTGAGGAGGTGACGAAACAAAGAATAACTGAGGAAACAGAAACGTTTAATGGGGCGAGCTTGTGTCCAGAACCAAAACTGAACGGAAGATAACAACAGAATTCGTCCCGGGCGCCGAAGTCGGTGTAACAGCAGGATCGAACTCTGGGTCGACACGAGGAGCCCCTTACGCACACGCGTTGGCTTCTGGAACAATCGACGTAGAAGGTTCGGCGGCTAAAACATTAGGACCTCGAGCAAGACGCACGGTCCTCGAATTTATCAAGACAATAAACCGAAAGAATAAATAAAAGACGCGTAACTGCCAAGAATCGAACCCGGGGCATTCGCACGAAAGTCAAGCGCAGTGACCGCTCGGCCTCGCACGCGCTCGCTCGCCGACGCGCGTGCTTATTTTAATACAGTTAACCAGACACTTAACGTTTCAATTGCATCCATAAAATATTTCAATTTTATTTTAGGTGATGGCGCCTGTAGGCATATATGGAGTATGTCGAACTTTGAACATAATTGTTTTTCTTTGTGAGTCTAAGTTAAGGTTATTAATTTGGGTCCTTTTGTTTTGTTTGAATCTTCGAAATTGCATTTTGTTACAGTAGTGTGTATAACTTTACCTAAAAAATAGATTGCCTTTGCCACATATTGTTTTACATAAAAAGAAGGTAAATGTAATGTTGAAAATAGATGTTTATTTAGACGAACTTCGGGCTACATATAAAAGAAAAGGGAACCTTACTTCCTGCGACGGCAACAATAGGGCGACTCACCCTTTACCGCGCTCGGCCATTTTTGTACATTTCTTTATTTGTCCCTCGCCATTCAAAACGCTTGCGGTGCTTTAAAGGCGTCTTCAACTGATGTGTTGACCGCCATACCATTTATGCATCGGATGCGGACCCGTAGTGGCAACAATTTACGTCACGTGGGCCGGCGTGTAAGGTCATCGAATTCTGTGATCCTGTCGTTTGGTTATAGAAATGCTGAAAATAAATGCGGGTTATTTAAAAATGACACAAATTTAAAAGGTAATCTTCATAAATGTAAAAGTAAAAAATGTTTAGCAAACCAATATATTTGCAGTGGGTGCAGGCGCATTAAATTATAATGCGATTTCTCCGCTGATAATTTGTGAAATATGTAATTCTCGAATTTTTTTGTTTGTTTCTAGATTTTTCGAATTTGTTATGTAGATTTAATTGACTTGTCTTATGAAATTTGAATTTGCCTGTCAGCGGGTAAGCTGGTAATAGCAGGACTATATAGGGCGGATGGCAATCACATTTTATCCTACCATGGTCCGTTTGCTCGAAGCTGGTTAACTCTAACCGCGGTTCGAAGTTTACCGCATTTCCCTACAAGGGGAAAGTTTAGGTCACGTCACCGGCAGAGTAAGGACAGCAGGGAAACATGGCGGCATTCCATTGAGTGAGCGCTGCTCACTTTTGAACTAATATGTCGTTGTAGCTGCAATATCGGTCGCGTTAGTCAGCAATGAATGGTGCAGGAGGCTTTCGCTTTGCCTTACCGCTTTTAAATCGTAAAGTATGAGCAAGGACCTCGCCGCATTTCTTAGACGGTCTTTCGATTCTGGCCATTCCTAAGCCTAAATGAACGCGGTACCTGTCGGCATGGCAACGTCTTTGGAAAGTGGATTGCCTTAACTCAATCGGCCGGGTATTGATAGCACACAAAAGCAGACGGCGTCCCAATATACCTTTTGCTAAATTCCCCAAGCACCGAGGTGCGTGCTACGAGTGTGGTTATACGCGTTGCACGTAGTGGCGTCTGCTGTAGTAATTGCTCTAAAACAAAAAGCCTAAAACAAATTTTTCCTTGCACGCGCGTTCGTCAAAACCTTATTATGATTATTTACTTCGAATCTTTTATAAGAGGAAGGCGAGCGAGCGCGGATCGTAGAATTACTCTTCCAGCGTTCTCCTCGAAGCTTGGTGAATTTACTAATAGGTATATTTTAACTGGAACCGAATCAGAGCTCTTTTTTCAATTCATAATGGTCTGATATGCAGTTCTTACATGCTGGCCAACCATTCTTCCTTATCGTTTCTAGGACTGAACTTCGTCGTCCTCTTTCGAACTTGGAATGAAATTTCAACGAGGCTTGTCTTCACTTCAGACAGCCAAGCATTTAGAAATTTTCCAAAGAAAATACCTATACCACGAGCAACAATAACTGTTTCTTAAGCTCAAATGTATGCCGCGCTGCTTCGCGAAAACCCGGTAGCGCGCGTTTTTGGGTCCCCTCTTTTCTGGAAAATATTTCACGCTACAACTGTTACAACCAGTAGGTGACACCCTATACCACCCCTTAATAAAACACGAAGCTATCGCTTATCCAGCCCTCGTCAAACTTGGCTAGGTACTTGTAGGTACCTAGTAGGGAAGGGCGCTTAACTTTTAACCGAGGTTAAAGTTAACTGGATTTGAGCAAACGGGCCCATGGGTATAATAAGCCTTTCCTATGGAATTTTGCTTATGGCCGTCATAGGCTCTTTCTAGAATCCCCCTATAGAAAACTGACCTTTGCCGTTGTACTAACTTTGTGCTAGCGGCATCTTACAGTTAACCTACTTAAAACTCACCATCATAAAAAACAAAGCTACGCCTTAGGCTTATGCTGGTCCTACCTTCACTTTCATACATGGTTTGCTATCACGTGGTGAGTAGTCCGAGGACGCTATAATTTAATTTGTGTGGCCAAATTTTTATAATGAACTCTCATACTCCATTCTATACTTATAGTGTAAAACGCTGTCAACGGTAGTGGCTTGAATGCGTGGTTTTATGTTCTATTTCATCTGCTCGAGAGCACATGCAAATCACGAGCTAAATAAATAAGTAAATAGATAAGACGCAGGCATGAAGAAAGAGTTTTATCGTCGACATAGTTTCGTTAAAGGGATGTACTGAACCAAATATTTCAGTGTCTATAATAAGTGGCGCACGATCTTTCTACAAGCCAGCAGCCGCCGGTGTGCGCGAGCACACGCAGCGAAATTGACGTCATAGTCCCCCATTCACAATTAAAATGACAGTGAAATGTGTGGGCTCCGGGGAAACAGAGAATAGACTTTCATCTCCAGAATGGGGTTTGGTGTAAAAGGTAAGCAATTAATTGGTCTAATAAGCACGTAGCTTTCACTTGTTGAAATGAAGGGCCTGTCTTTATTCTCCTTTGGCCGGAAGCCCATACATTTCACTGTCATCTTAAGCGCGAATTGGGAGGGGGGAGGGGAATCGGTGGCCGAGTGGGCTAGTGCACACCAGCTCGGAGCACGTGGAGCGAAAGCTCGCGTGCCCGTTCCGATCTGCGTGGTGCACGTTAATGACACCAGGCTAGTGGTTGTACTGCGCTGGGTAAATTTCTCACCTACAGCGAGTGGCTGGTTGCTAATTCGAAATGGCTGACCAACTTCACGCTGTCTAGATATC